CCCCAAAACCCCAAAACCCCAAAACCCCATTAACCTCTGCCAAAATTGAATCTCAAGTCTGAAAGTTATTTGTATTTCAATTTACTTAAATATCCTCTTGACTAGGTACGTCAAAGCATAAGCTCAAGGAAGACTATATGACAGAAAACTGCTCCGCTCGAAGTCAGCAGCTCGAAATTTCTCCTCAATATTTAGGAATTCCTTGTAGCTCATATTTCTTTGTGGAAGAAACCTTGCTTTGTCTTTAAAATTCTGAATATCCTCTTCTCCAATTGTCACATCAAGGAGGTCATCTGCCTGGGGGAATTCTGTCTCAGCTAGTTTCTTATCAAATTCATCGTAATGCCTTAAAACCTCGATTCTCTCTTCTACTGGCATTTGGTTGTTGATATCGATTCCATCGTAATGTTCATCCAGAACATCAACTGCTTCTTCAAGCATCTTCATGTAATCATGCTCTGGAGCATTAAGAATGGGATTAACCCCTCTGGTCTCTTTCCCAAGCTTATTCTCCTTCATCAGGTCATGATACTCAACAAGGGAAGATACTAGCTCAGAGTTAACCTTGGTTCCGTAAATATCCATGGCCTTATTTGATAAACTCTTCCTTTTGTTTGTTGAAGAAGGACCCATACTTCTCCATCATCCGATCAAAAGCGTTTATCGAGGAATGTCTCCACTTTTTGTCCTGCTCAACACCGAGGGAGATATTGAAGACGTCCATGACATCAGGAGGAAAGTACTGCTTATTCCCTCTAGCAGCAAAGTGTTTATCAAATATTTCCGACTTTTCCTCAAGGATTTCGTTAAAGTCAAAATTATCATTGACATATTGAGGGTAAATCGTCAGCACTCTCTTAATCAATGCTCTGTAATAAGGATCGTCATAGAGAAAGAGGTCATCAGTGTCTAGTAAAGCATTCAGGTCTACGTAATGACCTCCAATGTTTTGATATCTTAGCACTATTTCAGAATGAACTGAATCACTTATAAAGAATAATAGAATAAATCTTGGAATAGACATTAATTTCATCTTGCTAGAGAAATATATATATTTCATAAAGTAGTAGTAAGCATAGTTTGCACCAGCAATGAAGAGTGACATATAACCGAACGCTCGATTCTCATATAGTGAATTATACTGCAACAGTTCCTTCAAATAGAACAATTTTACAAATAATGGAAGTTTTTCAAAACAACCAATATCAAATATTTGAATGAAATCATTAAACGAGACCGCTTTAAAAATCATGAGATCAAGTTTATTCGCTGATTCTATAATTTCAAACTGCTCTCTTAATATTTCTTCTTGTCTTGATTGTTCTAAGGATTCTTTCTCCTTAATCTCAGTATAATCCTCCCCTTCAAAAGCGACATTTAGGGTATTTTCTCTGCCAGTATTCCATAAATCTTCGCCGTTGAGCTCAGCTTGTTGCATATAAACTGCAAATTCTTCCTCACTGAGTGAGTTAAGGAAGCCATTAATATCTCCTTTAAAGATTTCCTTCTTCGTGTTAATAGCTTCGACGATGGTTCTATTCTCAATCTCGTGGATATCAAGGGAGGGACTTTGCATTTCCTGCTTAAATATTTATTATTTACAGCCTCAATTTCTCTCAAAGCTCTAGGGGTTTTGGGGTTTTGGGGTTTTGGGGTTTTGGGG